CTTCTTTCCAACAATCGCTTTCATTTTATGATCCAATAGGTGATTATAATGAGAAGTATGTTTCTATTAGATTTTTAATAAGATTATCCTTTTGCCTTCTTTTCTATTTTATTCAAACTTAGTAAGCTCTCCTTTCAGTTTTTTTTATTCATCAGTCAACTATTGGTTAATTCCATACCAATTAAAGATAATATAAAATATTACTAAATTTAAACCTGTAAATCTAGCCTCTGTAATAGGAGTATTCCAGATTAAACTCTTTTCAAAATGATCTTAGAGACCTTTAGATACTTTTTAACAACTTAATATTACCCACTTCTTGATCTAAAAGATTTTAATTGATTATAAATACCAATCAAAAAGAAATTCAATCCCTTACAATTTTTAAGCCATTGTACTATTAATGGCTTCTCTAACTGTATTGAAATTTATCTATATTTCAATTAATATCTTCCAATCTTTTAAACTCTCTTATATAATTTCAGTTTAAAATCATACTCATTATCACTATATTTACCAAAGCATATAATCTCAACTGGAAATTGAGAAATTCTTTTATTTAATATTTAGATAAGCAAATTCTGATTACTTACTTAAATCTTTTATTTGTGAAATTTGACAGACCTACTAAAATTAAAGTTAATTTAAATTAAATTTGAAATATGAAAACTTCGTTAAAATTTTATTTTTTTTCGAATAAAAAGTAAAGTTAACAAATTATATATCAATAATCAGAAACTGAATTACTTTTTTCTATTTTATAGACATTGTTCTAATATTTTGATTCAAAAATTCTACATCAATTGCATTAAGATTATCCTTATTTTGAATATAAGTAAAATAAATTATTAAGGAAGACTGCTTAGACTCATACATGAATATTCAAGAGTATTTATTATCAGAATTCAGCCCTTCTTCTAGCATCATCTCTTAGACTCCCTATGTTGCAATTTCTTTTATAATCTGAATGAATTTAGATTCTACTAATATTTATTTAATTAATTAAAAAAAAGAGATAAATTGAATTAAATGGAGAATCAAGATTTCATGTTCAAATAGCATTATGAACATAAATATATATTAGAATCAATTGAAGTTTAATTTAAGATTATAGTCTCAACTTTAAATTTCTATTATTATATATAAATTAAATTTTCTGTCTGTTATATTCTATCATAACTTTGTTCTTAGTAAGGATTTCGTCAGAAATTGAATAAGGAGCCTAAAATAAGTTTTTAAAATTGATGATACTACTGGATAATATATAAATTATTAAATATTTTTTGAATTGATTTATTTGAACTAGAGTAATTAGTCACTTTAATATTCTCAAGAAATATGGTTATCAATTAAGAAACAAAAAGGAAGTAATTTGAATATAAAATTGATTCTGTTTGAAGAATTGAAATATTAAGAATTTAAGAAATTAGAATTATTTATGAAAATATATAGAGAAAAGATTAAATGATGTTAACAGTCCTTATTTTTCTTAATTAAAAATAATAAATAAAATGAATAATTTAAAAAATACTTCTGGATAATTGCCACCATAAAGGTTTGAATATTTTTTGGTGGCTAATAGTATTATATTTAAAAGTTCAACTGGAAATATAGATTTTCAGGATATACTCTTATGATATGTAGACAAATTAATGGAAAAATATATTAAATATAAATCAATATGTGTTAATTGTATTCTAGAAAATTAAGAGATATGTGATGAAGGAAATCTGAATCTCAATGATGGCTGCTTTAATTGTGAAATTGAACCTAATTGGATATGCAAATAAATTGAGTAATAAAGGATATGTGATAATCCCTTTAAATTTTTTTCTAATTTCTTCAACAATTTCAATTAATTCTCATTAATTTGTCTTGTGAAAATAAAATTGAGACTGGATATTATTTGACTTAGGCTATGATTTTATCTTTTTTGGATGACCGAATTGAATGATAATTGTTGATAAAAAAGATCCAATTGAAGATAAAGTTCAATATGTATTCTAATTAATTTATTATGGATGTATCATGAATATATTATATTAAATAAACGAAAAGTAGTATAAATCTTTCCACTTTAAATATACACACTTTAATTTAAAGTTAATCTTGCCTAACATATTAAGGAGATCTATGAAGAAAGATATAATATTTATTATAATAAATTACTAAGTAAATTGTTGTTTAAAGAATTAATATAAATTCATATAAAGGATTCATGTAGAGTTTTTATTATAATACCAGACATTTTGGAACAATTTGTGTAAGAGGTTTTAAGGATTATCTAGTTATGGTCTAAAAACTTCTTTGTATTAAATTTAAATTAGTTAAGTATTTTTGAGGCATAGACATTTGATATTTCACAAATATAAGAGACTATTGATGAATACAAATCAATAACAAAAGATTTGCTGAATATAAATCCTTAATTAGATTTGATCATTTCTAAGAAATCCAGTTTTTATAAACACATCAAGAGTATTATTTAAATGGATAAGAAACTATGAATTTTTAGCATATTAATAGATTAAATTGTTTTAACAATCCTAAATCATATAGGATGATTTGAAATTGATTGATTAAAACTCATCAAAATTAAAGAATCTAGTTTATAAATATATACCTTATAATATTTAAAATTAAAATAAAATTTAATCATTCTATTTTGAAGTATCATATTTACACACTCACCTTAAATGAACTCAGAACTTAATTTGAATGAATTTATAAATCCTTAAAATTAATATAATTTTATGATTTTAACAATTTAATAATTTTTAATTATGTTTTCTTGTATTTTAGAGTGCTTCATTTTCTTGAGTTGCTTTCTTTTATAATAATTTAATCTTTATTTTTTAATTATTTTTTGAGTTCTAGGTTTTCTATTCAAATTCTTTACTTTAAATAAATAATTTTAAATATTTTGAATTCTATTTATTTGTATATCTAAATTATTCAGCTCAAAATTAAACCATAAATTTTCAGCATTCAGACAAGAGATCACTTGTTAATTCATTCCTAGTCGCCATTTTAAAACTATTTTTTAGAGATCATTTGCAATAGCAATATGGATAAACAATTTTTTGTTATGATCGAATTAATTTTTTATTATTGGTTAGCTTTGAACATGTTAATTATTCAATGTTTTTGCTAAAATTAAAATTAAGAAACTAAGCATGAAGTAGCTTGCAATCTTCAAAATAATTTTCTGATCATGCAAATTTCTTTGATAACCGAAATAATATTTATTATGACTATTCTGTTAAGATATAATCGGTTGATATCAGTTAAGTTCAATTTCATGATTTCAATATACACTTAAAGAACATTAGTATTAGAAGCTTACCTTCATCATTTCAATAATTAACTATTTCGCATTACTTTCTGTTTAGGCATATGATAAAAGACGAAGGTATTAGATTCTTGTGACTAAGCTATCTTATGACTTATAATTTGATTGTGAGCATATTTACAACATAAATTTTATTGCCACAGTTCTTAACTTTTGAACATTCGAAGAAACAGACAAAGCTTCTATTGTAATAGTGCATTTACTCAATTTTACATATTTGCAAACTATAAACTAATTTGATTCAGAAGAAAATTTTTATATAATAATTATTATTCATTTATTTATTAATTCATATGTTGAATATCCTTTCTTTTTATT